AGCAGCAAGAACGGTCGGTCACATATTGAGATTGAAAGGAATTGAGAACCTAATCTTCCCCTCTTTAACAAGCCAGTCACTTGTCTAAAAAAGTCGCGACCACCGACGTGCTTGCTTTGTACCGCTTGTGTCAAGAAGGCACTGATGAACGACGCCTCACAATTTTATTGTGAGGCTCTCTGCAGGTTGTATGGTCAGCTTGTAGGCTTTCAGGCGCAATCTAAACCCGAAAGAAGTATCTGGGATCGACTTTCTATAGCTTAAGTGGCAAAGAATCGGTAGGACGAGGCAACCAAGCGAACGTGGGTTAGGGTTAAAGACACATCCGGCCGTTAGCTAGTACCTCATAAACTCAGCTACTCTGCCAGGAGCAGTGCTTAACATACAGACGCTATTGGCCGTTCCACCTGCCAAATTTCGAATACTGTCTGACTTATTTTTGCTGTTTGCGTTATGTAGCTCGAAAGGCATAGCAAATAAGTGGAAAAAGATTAAACTTCATATCAGAGATTTAAAAAATCGATATTTGGATAGCCAGTGGTTTCTTGGCCGTTATCTCCCAGCCTATCTTGGGTCCGCCGTTCGTTGATTTTACACGTATGTGCTCGTTCACCAACTTTTTTTTAATTTTTTAGATTGGACAGAACATACTTCATCTTTGTCTTAAGGAAGTATTTGTCTTCCACACAATGCAAACAGATCCCAATTGGTCTAATTTTCTTTACTGCCAAGATGCAGGAAAGGTGAGCGATTTGTCTTCTTACCGAGCCGCCTGAGGGTTGGTATTGATAATAACCACTTACTTGCAAATTTTTAGCAGGTCGAGTTTCCGCCTAGCCAGACACGTCCTTAATTATGTTAACCAATAAGAATTGTCCCAGTATTTTTATTGGTCTATAGGCATCCTTTGCTCGATTTTATTCTTCCCTCATGTTTTTCACATATATTTTTAGTTCAGTAAAATTTAATTTGCCTTCTACTGTACTCTTTCCACACATTAAATAGGCACTAACTACGCCTTAATCAAGCATTAAACCATTAGCCACGATTTTCGTAAGAAACTTGGTATGGGGACTTTTGCAATTTGGCGGTCCCACGATGGATCGCTACCCTTGCTTTTAATGCCTTGTGGTGTGACGTAGCTTACTTCACCCGGTTGTTCTTGCATTCTCGCTGACAGATTGTGCTCCTCGATTTCGGTGCATCAAGAACCTATCCCCGAAAGTTTGTGGACGAATATCTGAGGGTGATTAAGGCGGCTGCGGACGGCAATAAGGAGGCCATACTGGAACACTCGAGGAATTTGGGTTTCCTGACTGGCTATGAGACCAAGGCAGGTTCTAAATTTTTACTTGTCGGTTTCGCTGTTTTTTGCAGGCAGTCCGCGGTAAAATGGAAATTTTGTTCAAACGGTTCTTCTTAGAAATGTGGGGGCAAATTTTGCTCTGAGTTTGACAGACCCAACATCTTGTCTTTTTGACGACTATCGACGCCTCTTGCTGCTTCTGACACACCTGGATGCGTATCTAATGCCTAAAAACGCCTAACTTCTCCATCTACCTTATAAACACGAAAACACTAATTATTTTTTTGATGTTGTCAGACAGCTAAATTTTCGCATAGTCATCACCTCTAATGCCTTGGAACATGACGTTTTCATCTATTTGTTTTCCGTAGGTGCTACCCCGTTGGGAATATCCATTCTTTTATGTTCTGCCTAAGCAGTTCATTTATCATCACGTAGATGTTGTGTTCCTTGGCCTAATAAAATCGCCGCTTGACATGGTTATGATAAGGCCCGACCCAGCTAAACATCTGTTGTTGTTTTGAATGCTGTCCTCCTTAGTGGCACTTCTGTGACCTTAAGCGTTCTAAAAAGTACGAGAAATACCTCTGTACAAGTAAATAAACAGAAGGTTGTTCGCTCACTGGAATCATGTCTTTATGAATCTGAGCTTTCTAACTCATATTGTTGTTTATCGTCAGATATAAAATCGTCAACAAAATACAAGCAACAGTTATAAG